GCTTAACGTCACATAGGCTGGGACAGAACAGGCAACCTGAAGCTGTGTGGACTCCCAACTCCCAGAATTCCCTAGTCAGCATGAGAAGCACTGCTCTACAATTGGCCAGGCCAGAACTGCAAACTACTCACATATTCACTGGACTTTCCGCTGCAAGAGCCACTGCGGAATCTAAGTGCACCTTGCAGGCGCGCCCATGGACCTGCAGGAATTGGGCTGGATCCTTTTTCTGGAAGGGAAGAAACCCACAGGTAACTCTCCCAAACCAACACTGGATCCAATTCCACAGAACGATGACAGCCGATGGGTAGGATCTTTCCAGGATTTTGTCCTAGTGATATTTTATTTTTTATTGATTCAATTTGTTTGCTGCAAGTCAGCTTTATTCTCCTTTGGGAATTGTAAGGATTGCCTTGAAGGCCTTTTTTATATACAGGTAGTCCTCGACGTACGATCCTAGTTGAGCCCTGAATTTCTGCTGAGACATTTGTTAAGTGTTGACCCATTTTACGACCTTTCTTGTCTCAGTTGTTAAGTGAACCACTGCAGCTGATAAGTTAGTAATGTGGTTGTTAATTGAATCTGGCTTCCCCATTGACTTGGCTTGCCAGAAGGTCGCAAAAGGGGAAAATCCCACAGGAGGAAAATTCCACTTAGGGTTAGGTCACCATGAACTCATAGAGCAAAATGGACTTCGCCAACAAACTCGGAGTGCTTGGGTATGGTTAGGAGGGCACTGACTTTTCCAGCCTGCCCTATCTATGTTTCCTGGTGAAATACATGGGAAAATCCCATTGGGGGAAAATTCCACTTAGGGTTAGGGTTAGGTCACCATGAACTCATAGAGCAAAATGGACTTTGCCAACAAATTCAGAGTGCTTGGGTATGGTTAGGAGGGCACTGACTTTTCCAGCCTGCCCTATCTATGTTTCCTGGTGAAATACATGGGAAAATCCCATTGGAGGAAAATTCCACTTAGGGTTAGGGTTACGTCACCATGAACTCCTAGAGCAAAATGGACATCGCCAACAAACTCGGAGTGCTTGGGTATGGTTAGGAGGGCACTGACTTTTCTAGGCTGCCCTATCTCTGTTTCCTGGTAAAATACATGGGAAAATCCCATAGGAGGAAAATTCCACTTAGGCATAAGGCATTCTCCCAAAATGAACCAAGGAGAAAGACACTCACTATCTTTTCGTAATACTCTCTCCGACGTTCTGCTCTTTTCTTATAATCCACCATCATCCCCCGTAGCTTTCGCTCATGTTTTCGGGCTTCGTGCCACATCCTGCTTTTCTCCCAGCTGTTCCACAGGGTGAGGAAAAGAGGCATATCCATGCGTTATGGGGGGGGGGAGAGAAGAGGAAAGGGAAATATAACAAAATCTAACACATCCACTTTTTCACACTGCACCCCATCCTCCAACAGACTCTACCAAAATATTCTTTATTAATCATATCAGATACCACATTGGTCTTTGAATGCCTGACAAAAAATGACAAAGCAGAAATGTTTACGGTTCCACCAGAAGTTAAACTGTTTTTTTTACAAGAAATCAAACATAATTCTATGTGAAGATGAAATCCACCATGTGAGTTTCTATGCTGGTCTCGCTTCCTTCCAATCAAGCTTTTATGACCTGTGACAAATCAGTCCCAAAGTCTCTGGACACCTGATTTTACTGAATCATTTAGTAACGTCAAGACAGGCTAAAATGAATTGCCTTGAGCAGATTCCACCTACTGAAACTCATATACAGCAATTCTTTCACTTGCCTTTTTTCCTAGAATTAGGTAGATCAATTATTCCAGGTTAAAAAAATAAACCCAACAATTTGAAGGTAGGTCAAATACTGCAAACTGTAAAAATGAATTGAAAAGTACAGCAGTCAAAGAACTTTAGATGGCAAATGAAACAGCAGACAGGGACCTGGCACACATAACCAATACTCACTGAGAGCAGGACCTTGAGATATGTCAAAATGGATGCTCTCCTTTTCCCCAAGCACACTGAATGAAGATATTTTTTTTCCTCTGTGAAAGGAGCGCCCTAAATAAATATGAAGTCACAAAATGTAAAGACTATAATTTTTTAATCGAAATGTTAAATAGCTCGCAATTTACCTGATGGACAGGCAGTTTATCTCCCCAGGAGTTTAGGCAGTCATACAAAGAGCACCACCAAATATCATTGCAGGTATGGGAATTCTTTTTTTTTAATAGAAATTTTATTCAAAATTACAATTGCAACGATCAAAATTAATGCAAGGGTGATTCTTACATTGTTTTCCTCTCAGGAACCCTTCCCACTTTTAAAAATTATAGAGGACCCCAAAAAGAACATTTGGTTCTATAACTGACATTGACTGACATTGATCACATTATCCATTAGAATTGAAACATTATCTGCCACTACAGCTTCTTACAATTATCTGATGTGATTTTAATATTATATTATTTTTCAACATAGGCTGGCATATAATTTTGAGGACATCTGAATCTTGGGAGACTTCCAGGGGTCCTCAGATCACACTTTAAAAAACAAGGCTTTAGAAGCTACATTAAATATAACAGACCTACTGATTCTCATCATTAAGCAAAATATTTTTATGCACTTCTAAATACAACAGCACTGACAATTAATAGCAATAGCACTTAGACTTATGCAGGCAATCCTCGAGTTACAACAGTTTATTTAGTGACCATTACAACGGCACTGAAAAAAGGAACTTAAGAGCATTTTTCACACTTAACAACCACTATCCCCATGGCCACGTGATCAAAATTCAGAGGCTTGGCAACTGACTCATATTTACGACGGTCGCAGTGTCCTGGAGTCATGTGATCTCCTTTCGCGATCTTTTGCCAAGCAAAATCAAAGGGGAAACCAGATTCACTTAACAACCGTGTTACTAAATTAACAACTGCAGTGATTCACTTAACAACTGTGGCAAGTAAGGTCGTAAAATGGGGATAAACCCATTTAACAAACATCTCACTTAGCCACATAAATTTTCGGCTCAATTGTGGTCATAACTCGAGGACTACCTGTAACCAAATAAATCTCTAGTAATAACGTATGTAGCATATATGTACCTACGCAGCAACAATATATAGCAATACCAATAGCACTTAGACTTATATACCGCTTTACAGCCCCTCTCTAAGCGGTTTACAGTCACCCTATTGCCCCCAGTAATCCGGGTCCTCGTTTTACCGACCTCGGATGGAATTCAGGTGGCAAAGCTTTGTGGGAAGGGGAATGAGATCCCAATAGGAAAACTGGAAGGCCGGTTCCACACCTAACAGAAAACACTTCAATCATCCTTTTTAAGGATCTCTACCGCTTCTCTAGTTCAGCAGTGAGAGAAAACATTGCCCCTCATTTAAAAAAAGGGATGCTGGTCCTCATGAACAACCTGCCTCCAGAAGTCATTGGGTACTCCAACACTGGAAGTTTTTCAGAAGAGACTGGACAGCCGT